AATGTATTTTCTACCTTCATATTTGCAGACTCGTACCCAGTCGCTTCTCTTCAGAGGCGCGCAATGCATGAAGGGAAGGGAAGGCGCATTTTCTCTCCTTCCCATCGGCCCTTTCAAGCGTATCGAAAAAAGCGTAACGACTGGGTTCGAGTCTGAGCAAGGTGTGTGAAGAGGTCAGATCAATAATGTAAACTAAATTCAGTATTGGTAATGTATTGTTTTTACAGAACACACCAAACGACCTTCAGCTTCTCTCAGATGCGCCAGCMCATCACATTTTCTGTCTTCTTGGTCCAGTTGACCCAGCAATGAAGACACTACCCGAGGTTTACTGCGTTCTGCAGGTTGGTTGCTTTTATTAGAAAAAGATTTTTGAAAATTGACAGCATTTGAGTAGCCTCCGTGCAGCCGAACCACAACTACAACAGTTTTTGTTTGGATGCACGCAGGCCAAACATCAGCAACATTAAAAGAAACATTAACAGTTGCAGTAGCAAAAACAGCAATAATAACAACAACAACAACAGCAACAGGAGTAACAAGAGTTGACTCTGCAACAACGATAGCAAAAAGAGTAAATAGAAGTTCAAATCGAAGTCGCACTAAACAATTATTTGCGTCCGTGCGAGAGAAGTTCGATCACTAGCGAATTTTATTACGAGTATCTGACATGTCTAAATATCAACGATTCTAAACATTTGCCACTACTGCAGCAGAAAGCAGAACTGGCGATGGTAAAGCTGTGACTAAAATTCATCATAAGGGCGTACAAAATAGACATGTCGTCAGTGTAAAAACAATTGGCAAAACTTCTATTCACTTTCAATTTCAATTTATTTACAATTTATATTTCAAATTACAAGTGATTACTAAAGAACAAACAGCGACATTTAAAACTGCAATTATTACCAATAAATGCATCGAATTTTAGCGTTAATTTTGTCAAATGTGTTCTGTTCATTCATAATAGGTTGCACTTGARGGAGAAATCTCCAAAGCCACAATAATGAATAGCTTGTCAAGTGGTAAACGAGCCGCTGGGGATCTCATTCCGTGGACAGTCTCACAACAGGTACATTGAATCAGACGAAATCTACGTTAACACGTATTCTGATACTTTTCCGGATATTTTTTGTAGCTTTTTTCCCCTATTGAATTTCTGAAAGGGCAATAGTCTCCTTCACGGCTTCCTGCGCCATCTTGAAAGATATGAATATGAGGACCGCATGGCACTATGATAGAACAGATATAGAAATGAAAGAAAGTTATAGTGCTTAGAAGGAGGCAATTCCGGGAGAAAGACCCTTAGGAATAAATTTGGAAAAAATATTTTCCGACTTCGCCTGGGATACGAACCCAGAAAAGATAGATAGCCTTGCCTTTACATCGTAGCGAGACAACCGTTTAGCGTGCAATGATAGATACTTGTGAATAATTGTCTGTAGGTGTGAAAAAAAGGTTTCTGTCATTGCACTCTCGACAGTCGTCTCGCTTCGATGTAAAGGCAAGGAATATAGAGTTTTAGCATCACGTTGACGGCAAACGGCTAACGGCAGAGCTGAACCAATGACCTAAGAATCTCGTGCCTGACCTTGTGCTTTTGGTAGTCATTTGAAAGAGCGGCTTTTCACGATTATGGCAACCTCAAAATAACCCGCATTCGAGTTGAAACTGCAACGTTAAACTAAAAAAAAGCAGGTCACGTGATCTTTTCTGCCGTTTGCCGTTTGCCGTGAACGTCATGTTAAACCTGTATCTGCCATAGTTCAACGACCATGAGTTTGGGAGTCTATCAGGTGGTAGAGTAGTCCGCATTGCAACTCATCCCGACTACCAAAGGGTAAGGATACAATGTCGTTCATYCCGCTTAACTTAGCCTGAATTTCACTTCAATTCTTGCTGACTAGATGGGTTATGGACGTCGAGCCATGCAACAGTTGATTCAGTACTACGAGGGAAAGATCCCYAGCCTGTTTGAAAATGGCCGAGAGAAGAATGACGAGATCAGTGCTCTAAATGATGATGAGGTATGGCAACAAAGCATGTTAGGATTTTTTTGTCCTCGCAATTTTTTCATGTCCGCTATTGCAGCTCTCCTGAGCCTTTTTAATTCTTCTTTGTCAAAAAAGTAGTTAGTAGTTATTTTGTTTTTCGTAAAATGAGTAATATAAAAGGGGGGAGGGGAGGGAAGGGTGATCTTTAGTGGCTATAAAAAGCGCGAGGGCTACAACTCCTATCATACAGAATGGCTTCGCTTCACATTGCACAATGTTTTCCTTATTTTATTGAACATTCATTTCTTTGTTGTTGTTGTTGTTGTTGTTATTGTTGTTGTTGTTTTTGTTGTTGTTGTTGTTGTTGTTGTTGTTGTTTTGCAGTTATTTATACTAGTTCCTTACTTACTTTCTTGATCTGCTTGTATCCCATTCAGGTGCCCAGACCGTTCTCAGTTTTTCCGTTATGAAACCGAGAAGGGTCTGGGTAACAGAATGTTTACTTCCCTCCTTCCTCCATTTTTTGTCTTGTTTATTAACTGCTAACTTGGCTCTCTTACAGGATGTAGGTCTCTTAGAAGAAGCTATTAGTCCTCGCGCCAATCTTCCTCCGTTGCTTTTAAAACTGAGCGAGCGACAAGCTGAGAGACTGGACTATATTGGTGTTTCGTATGGTTTGACCACAAACTTATTGAAGTAAGCTAAGCTAACTATCCATGCATCAATCCTGTCAAACTTTGTCTTACAAATTGACTATTGACACCTTTTTTCTAGATTTTGGAAAAAGAGCGGTTTTGCTCCCGTTTATTTAAGACAAACACCTGTAAGTTAAGTTTATTTGATTGGCTCCACTTCAAACAATTTAAACATTTTCTTCAATAACTGAGAGCCAGCCATATGTTTATAAATAGTCCTCTTCTCGGCTCGCTCGCCATCTTGAAAGGTAGCCGTGCCTTTGCATCGAAGCGAGACGACCGTTGAGCGTGCAATGATAGAAACCTTCTTTTACACCTACAGACAATTATTCACAGTTATCTATCATTGCACGCTCAACGGTTGTCTCGCTACGATTTAAAGGCACGGCTACCTATCAAGATGGCGCAGGGAACCGTGAAGGAGACTTATTTCAACTGGGAATTAAGTAAAGTATATTATCTTATTCAATGGCTATGAAAAGTTAGGAAGTGTAATATTTTGTTTTTCATTATTGACTGGTAAATTTTCAGAACGAATTGACAGGCGAGCATTCCTGTATCATGCTGCGCATGCTCAATGAAGCTGAAGTTAGCACGAACGAAGACTGGTTACAAGCGTACTGGCAAGGTTTGTATATTTGACATTATTTAAACATGACCGGACATTGTACAAGTTTTAATTACTGCAGTCTTGGTAGAGATGAATATCTTGAATACACGTAATTGAAACAACTGTAATTCGTACGAAACTACACTGTAAATTTCTCTCTTTTATTGAGTATAACAAGAGTCAAAACATGACAACGATGGTTTTTCCCATGCAACCCTTGCGGGCCTATTGACACAGGGATCCCGAGCCGTAACACAACAATGACTACAACTGTGGCGTTTGTTGTCGAGCTAAAGTTTATACTCTGCAAACAGATCTACTTTTCTCACCCGCTGAGAAAGCGAGAGAAAAAGATTTTTATTTTCGCTTTTTCGGCGGTGAGAAAAGTACATTTGTTCGCAGAGTAAAACGTTTACTGCGTCAAAACTGAAACCAAGTGGAAAATGAGAAGACAAACGATGTGTCAGCAGATGAAGAGTTTGTTTTATTTATTCAATTTTTCAACAGATTTTCGTCGGCGTTTTTTGTATCTTCTATCCTATCAGTTCAGCTCGTTCCATCCAACGCTATCTCTTAGTATCTTGCAACAGAAATCCATGAAGTTAAAGAAAGAGGGTAAGTTATGAAGAATTATTGCCTTTACTTTTGTATGAAAAGAAAAAGGAAACACATCGGATTTCTCTTTTCTTGTAACGAATAATTTTTAAATTCATATTTTCATTAATATTTCCTTTTGACTTGCCATCTAAACACCATTTAAAGTCCCAGTGTGCACTATTATGCATTAAGAGCCGCGAGGGCCTGGAGGCGGCCATTTTCAGTTTACCGAAAGTCTATAAATTGTACTGTGTGTTTCGAATCTTTGACCACCTCACTTTTCTAAGCACTTTAAACGATAATATAAGAATTTTTAACCATCTGAAATTCGTTTATGATGATATTTGGATACTAGAAGTATTTTGGTGTAAATCATAACAATAACAGAGGCGCGCAAAGCATAATGGTGCAAACTGGGCCTTTAATCTATTTAACAATCAGTCCGTTCGTACCACCTTCCTCACCTTTTCTCTCATTCTGTCCTTTCTTCCATCCTTCCTTTTCCTTCTCACTCTCCCATCTCTCTTCTTTGCTCTCTATTCGTCCCTTTCTTCTATTCGTCCCTTTCTTCTCCTTCTCTCCCTTTCTTCCTCCATCTTTCTAACCATCCATTTATACATGTGTTATTAATTTCAATTCACAGCAATCACTAAGTCTGAATTAGAATACTCAGTGACAAAGTACGACATCAAAAGACTTGATCTTTACTCCAGAAACATGGTTGACCATCACTTAATTACAGATCTCCTACCTGAAGGTAAGCACAGACGGTTAGATCAGTGAGCTGTTTGGTGCATGGAATTTTTCTCATTGTCCTTGTGTTTAGCTGGTCGTAGTCGATTTTTTTCTTAGTGGTTGGGGGAGGGGGGGAGGGGACGAGGCATAGAGGAACTTAATTTACGGAGAACAAAGACATTTGGTCTTTTCTCAATTTCTTAATTTTCTCATTCTCAGTTGCCCGATTATTCTTCATGGACAAGTTGGACTTTTCCTTGTCAGCAATACAATCGGTGAGTATTAATTGTCATTGTTGTTTAACCAATTAATCAATCAATCATTCCGTTAATTAATCAGTCGATCAATCAATCAATTAGTCAATTAATTAATCCATCAATCAGTCTATCAATCAATCAAACAATTAGTCAATCATTCAATCAATCAGTCTATTAATTCATCAATTACTCAATCAATCATTACGTTAATTAATCAGTCGATCAATAAATCAATTAGTCAATTAATTAATCCATCAATCAGTCTATCAATCAATCAATCAAGCAATCAGTCTATCAGTCAATCAGTCTATTAATTCATCAATCACTCAATCGATCATTAAGTTAGTCAATCAATCAAAAAATTAATCAGTCTATTAATTCATCCGTCAATTATCTCTCATTTATCCGTCCATGTCCTTTTGCTTTTTTTCTTCAGGCTATTTTACTAGGTGTTGGTCTACAGCACAAAACATTCGACGACTTAGGGGTAAGAAAGCATCTCTTTCATGGCCAAGGCACCTGCACGTACCCGAATTGTTATTTTGAGAGGCTGCCTTTGAAACAGCCTTCCGATACACTCATTTTTTTTTTTTTTATTTGTAGAAAGATCTAGAGCTTCCAGTCAGTCAGTTACTTGGTCTGTTTAATCGCATTATCCGTAAAGTCGTTCAGGTAAGCACAAGCCATTCATCTCTCAATTAAAAAAAAACTTTGTGCGTACTCCGTGGTTATTATCGAGGGTAAATTGGAAACAATCAAACCTCCCGCACAGGCAACCCAGTCTCATCAATTTTTGGGGGGATTTCTGTTGAAACATTTTAAAACTTTGTGGTTACTCTGTGGTTATCATGGAGGGTAAATTGGAAACAATCATACCTCCCGCACATACAGCCCAGGCTCCTAATTTTTTTCTATTTCTGTGTAGTGCTTTAATACGGTTTTGGAGGCAGCCATTGAAGATGAGATCGTGAAACATAAGAAAGTGACGATGGAACCCTTGGCGAAGACATTGACTCAAGATYTGGTAAGACTGAAAACAAGTCCTCTTCTCATGATATGTAATCAATCAATCGTCGAACTTGATTCAGTGGGATTAAATCCCCTTTTATAATTAAGGTTTCTTGAGTCTGGCAAAGTGTTTACTGTCAATAGACCTCTGCAGCTTTTACGTCATGTACCGTATACGCAATGCATTGTAGGACATGTTTGGGACAAAACATGGCTGATTTCTTTTGTTTTCTCTTGAAACTGATCCCACAATGCATTGAAAATCAAGTAGTGACGTAAAAGGTTCAGAAGTCTATTGGTATTATCATATATGAAAAATCTAAAACACGACCGCATTGAATGCCGGTTTAACACGCATCTTTAAGCAATTGTTTCTATTTTCATCCATTCAACTTCTTGTTTAGGACGAGGCAGCGGACGAAATGGAAGCAAAACAGAAAAAGGAACTGGAACAGTTAAAAGCCCTGGATTTAGGAAAGTAAGTACCTTGTGTCTTATATGGCTGTGTCTTCATTTCAGTCTATTTCAGTCTAGAGACTGAAATGAAGAGACGGAAACGCTGAGATAAAATCGAAGATGAYGCAGGGACGAAAATGGTGAAGGAACATTGACGGAAACAGACGGAAACGCAGACGACAGCAGAAACGGAAACGTAGACAAAAACTGAGACTGTCACGGAAACGATGCAGAGACAAAGACGATAACAGAACATTGATGGAAACTGAGACGATGACAGAAGCAGTGACTGAAGGAAAATTTGACRCTGTATGATAATAAYRACACCTCTTCTTGATAYGTYTAGGTATGCKATATCTGGWAAAGAGGACGAATGGAGTCAAGCACTAGGGGGTAAAGGAAAACATCAATCAATCGTTAGCATTGCGAGCAGCAAAAGAAAATCACAGGTAAAACAGGAAATCCGAAAATCATCCGAATACTTCCGACAAAATCCGAGTGTTATTCGAATGTTTTCCGAACAAATATCATCATAATCCGAAATGTTTTCCAACAAAATACGATCATCATCCGAATGTTTTCCAACAAAATCTGTCTTTCTCGTGTAATATGACAGAACAACCCGATTGTTACTCGACAAATGCCCGACTGACATCCGAATATGATCCGACTGTTCTCGGACTGTTTTCTGATTATAGTGATATCGAATGTTATCCACAGACTGTCATCTCGTCGTTAAACATTTTTTAGCGATTGCTCTCCGATTTTTATCCGACTAACTTCGGTTGGTATTCGTTTCAGGCGACAGAGGAAGGGACGAAATCTAGCAAGAAGTCAAAGAAGTCCAAGAAGCATAAGAAATGATTA